CCACCACGAATTTCCCCCTCCCCGCCCGGCCACCCCCCCAGGCCTTGGGGAGCGGCCCCTGCTGCCTCCCCTTGCGGGGCGGTCGAAGGGGGTGTCGCACCCTAATGCTCCCAACACGTTCCTCTCTCTTAACCCCATCGCCTGTGGCGTTTAGCTGAATTCAGGTTCTGCGCAGTATTTTAACCTTCTGGGTAAAGGCCGTGAGCCAGGGCGTTACTTAGTCCAGATTAAGAATCGAGGGTGAGAGAAAGATGAGTGGCCGGGAAGGGCTGGGTTTTATCATTTCAGTGTATAGGGGGCAGGTCTTTTTGTCAGAGGACTCAAACCCATGTAGATTCAGACTTGGATTTTCCGCAGAGTGATGCATTTTGAAGCCCAAACAAGATATGCAAGATGTATAAAAGCTAAAATTGGTGCCTGTAATTACAGTAGTTTAATCAGGAAACTGAAGGATTTGCATTTCTTCTGTGAGGTGTTAAAATACTGTTTCTTCTGCTGAAGTGCTTGTGTGCTGTAAGGCCATATTAGTGGCCATGAAATATTGCTTTGCTGTTAACTGTGCAGGTCTCAAATGCACTGAATGCTCTTGTAGAAAGTGTCTAATCAGTAATCCTTGCTGAAATAGCTATAGTGTTATTGGATACACCTTGGAATAAAAACAGTGGTGTGTTGTGAATTTTTTATTAGATATTTCTGATAAACAGGAGACCTCTTCCTACAAAAATACAGTTTTATCTTGTTTGGAACATAAAGGTTGCCGTAGGCAATATGAAGGAGGTATTGCCATTAGCAAAATTGCTGATGCATTTAATAATGTGGGGAGAGGGCTGTGCTAGCTAGCAGGCTACTTCCAGGTTTGTTCAGTTTATTACAACAAAATAGGCCCCAGTCCCTCATGGCTTACAAGTATATTTAACTTTACAGCTGCTGCCAGCAGGTAATTCAGCTTCTCATAGTATGTGCTCTTAAACTTGTTTAGGCTGTGCTACTAAAGATTGAATTGATTTTTCACTGTAAGCTTACTCTTCCTTTCAGAGCATTTTGCGTAATGGACTTGATCTCTTTCCATTCAGAACAGACTATATCTGTATGTCCCAAACCACTCTCCGCTCTTCATCATTCTAGAATTATGAAGCCCGTTAGATTAATTATTTTTATTTTTTCTAGCAGTTTGTATCTGTAGATACCCATTCAGTACAATGTAAGTTGCAAATGGTGATAAGCAACATCTAACATGGCAGAAGGTCCATCAAATAGATATTACTGTAAAAGCTTTTCCTTTTAAACTTTTATGGTTGTTTCTGTCTCCCACGGAACTTCCAAGTTAACCTTTCTTCATCTATGTCCATTAGATACGAGTAACGTTTTGGAGAAGGTATACCGTTAGTAATTTCTTAGTGAGATTAGGTGTATGTAGTTTTTAAAATAGTCTGAAGTAAATTTCTTGAAAATGTTTTTATCATTGTTACTGTTTAAATAATGACATCCAGGAATAAATATAATTTTGCTGGAATACTGTGTCAGTTTTTTAAGGAAAAATGGCTTCTTACCACTTTGCTCTGTGGTTTTTCACTGAATAAAGAGTTTCTAATAGTCCTTATGGAACAGAAAACTTGTATCTGATTTACTGTTGAACTTTGTAAGTGTAATTCAAAAGTGATTTCATTTTTATTTTCCTTATTCTAGCTTTTCTACGGAAAGTCTACAGCATTCTTTCCATTCAAGTTCTTTTGGTCACAGTCACATCTGCCATTTTCCTGTACTCTACTGGAGTACAGGCATTTGTCCATGAAAGGTAATTACTAAAATGAAATGAGGCTGTTTGTCATGTGTTAAGTATAGTTTGTGTGGTTTGTTGCTCTGGAACACTTAGGTATTCCTAACCATTTTTACACCCTGTGTTTTGATTCTGTAATAGAGATTTTGTAACCTCATTAGGAAATAACTTTTCTGACATTTTTCTCCTTGGTTTATTATTAAAATTTATTTTTGTTACTATCATTAAAGTTTATTTTAATCAATACTTTATTAATAGTGTTTATTTTAACATTTACGCTATGAAAAGCTATACATCACTTGCAGAACATCTCAATTATTGATGTTGATTGTTTTATGGTCTGAGTATCTGCTTTTAGAATCTGTTTGGAATGCTGTTGGTTATAGGTACCTGTTCCAAAAAGCTGAGTCATGTCTTACTCCCCTCCCTCCCTCCCTCCCTCCCTCATCGTATTTTGTTTTTTTCCCGAAAACTAGTCTGCTAAAATTCCCATGGGTGTGCTTCTTTTTGCCTCTCAGATTTTCGTGAGAAAAAAAACAAGTCTCAAAAACCAAACTGCGGTGAACGGGCAGGGGAAAAGAACAAATGGGGAAAAGAGGAGAGCACTGGGTCCAGTTTCTGGTTTCTCCCAAGTACACCTGCAGACTTTGCTTTTACTTTCACTTCAAGGCCCATGTATAAAAGGACCATCAAACACTATATGAAAGTTTCTGTACAAGCTAGAGTGTATGCAACAGAGGTTGTAAAACTACAGTTTTCCTCTTAAATCTGATAATCTAAAATCATCCTGCTAACTTAGAACTGTTGTGATTTTGAGTTTGATTTTGGTCCAGTTTTTGCTTGGAGGGCTGCTTGAATGGTTTAATTATAGTGATACTTGCTGGCCAGTACTGATTTTCTTTGGTGCAGGTAGCGCCCATGTTTATTGCACTTAGGTGCTTATAAAAAACAGTGCCCTCTATGTGCAGTAGTTAATAGGCAAAATATTATATATACTTTAATAGCTTATGGTTAATTTAGTACAGATGGATTTCCCTCTTCATCTGGGTTCATATCCAGGTGATGGATTTCTGGCAATCTTCAGCTTCAGTATGAAAAAACTGTCTTCATTTGTGACTGTACTGTTTTTAACTGATTGTCTGTGGTGGTATGTTTTAGAGCAGTTTTATTGTAAAACTTGCTTTACATTTAATTTGGATATACAGAGCACTATCTTTATCTAGGTGATCACTTAAGAACTTGGGTTTACATAAACTGGTTTTTAGTCTTCCAGCTATTTTAATTTTGATGACTTTTTTTTTTGTATGGAACTCTACAGGCCTGCCTTGCTTTTAATATCTGGGTTTGGATCTTTGGCTATAATTGTGGCACTGACCCTCTACAGACACCAGCATCCTGTTAATTTATACCTGCTTTTTGGATTTGTAAGTATTTATATAAATTCAATTTTAATAGTCCTTAGAATATCTTTCCTTGTGATGAGCTCCTTGAAGCAAACCAGTGGTGGCTATACGCTTATGAATTCCGAGTTATTTTTTGGAGGTTCTATCCACAGATTGTTCCTAGATATCCTCTACTTCAGGTTTCTTCCAGCATCTTTTTAGGAAGAGTGTTAGAACTTGGAATCAGGTTTAGCAAGCTTTTTGTGTGTGTGTGTGTGTGTCTCTAAGTATATCTGTCTGCTCTCATTGTTCTATTGATGTCAGTAGTTTTTAGCAGGAAAAAAGGATGCATTTCTGTTACCTTATTTGTTTAATGCACAACCTCTAGCAGAGGCCCAAATGCAGCCAGCCATATGTGTTTATTTCATTAATTGTTTTCTTTTTGATGCTGAATTCTGAGCATGTTTCCAACACAGACAGATCAATCTGAGCTGTCCTCAAATTTCAGTCTCCTGCCTAATGTTGCAAATTTGTAGATATGGGCTAACTGTTGCTCTTGGATATTTTGGATTATGTAGCAAATCAGTCTTCTGAAAAGAAGTCACAGTAGCACCATTGGAATTCGATGCTTCAGGAGTTGCCTAAATTGTATTTGTGATACAATGGGAAGACAGCTTTGCTGTGTAACTAAATGGACTGTTTAAATTGTAATGCAGTTATGTGCTTCCTGACTTTGGAAATCTTGCAAGAGAGTAAAATGTTTAAAAATTTTCAACAAGTGCAGCTGTAACAAGGAGTGATATAATAGTTTGGCCAAACGTGGTCTGAGAGTTTGTGATATGACAGTTTAAGTATTACATTGTGTAGGAATAGAAGGATTCAAATCTGTGTGATAAATTGGTTTAAACAAAATATGGGTTAAATGTTCTGTTATTTCTGACCTCTTGGGTCATGCAAGAGTTTCTTTTTTCATCTTTTATTGTAATGAAACTTAATTTGAAATTACCTTTTAGAAAAACTTGGAGCCCATGTTAGCCTTCAGCCCAGACATCAATAATATGTTTGATTTTAAGTTAGCTGTTTTAAAAGAAGGACAAGTAGGAAAAGAAAATTGATGTGGACACTTAGCTGTCTAATGAGATATTGCGTTGGATGAAAATATTTCAAATATTGAAAAGTATGCAAAAGTTGAAAACAGTTAATTTCTAATAGCACCTCTAAGAAATTTTATAGCCCCTTGAATAGTTTGTAAGAAGCGTGATAAGGATACTGTGTGCTTTGAGTAGAAAACCTAAATGGCATTTTGCTACAGGGGCTGTGTCTCATTCGTTTTCAGTTTATATTCAGTTTATATTGTACTATTTTTATGTAACACAACAACTTCTAGCACAGTAAGTCAGTGTCAGTGCCATTTTCTTGTTGACAATTAAACATGTTTTCATATACAAAGATTTAACAGGAGAGGTAACATGATGCATGCTGGGGCTATGCAGCAGAATAGGTCTCATTGCATGTGAAGTCTCTGTGTGTTTTGTGGGTTTTTTCGTCCTTGTAATTTTTTCTTTTTACTTTTTGCAGACACTGCTGGAAGCTCTGACAGTTGCCATTACAGGTAAATGGTAGCCATCCTAGTGTATGATTCCTTAAAGAAATTGGAAAAGGGAATCCAATATGTTGTACTAATTGCCATCTGAGATTCCTAGATGTGACTAAAGAGATAATACATCCCCTGCTTGAAAATTTTAATGACAGTGATATGAGTATAGCAAAAATCAGGGAACCAAGGGATTCTGACCCAGAACTGAAACTGTGTAAACCTGAAGTGAGAAGTGAGTTGTGCCATCTGTTCTTTTGGTACAGCTAGCAATGCTCTTTCCTATGAGGCAGCTCCCAGCAGAGCTGATCTGCAAGTGAAATACCCTTCCCCCTCTGCTTCCTCCAAGGGAGTTTCCTATGAGGCAGCTCCCAGCAGAGCTGATCTACAAGTGAAATACCCTTATCTTCCCCCTCTGCTTCCTCCAAGGGAATTACTTGGAGTTTGGAGAGTTCTGTACTTGGTTGTCAGGGTTGAGATGGGGCAGTGTGCAGAGAAGTCATGGCATCACCTTGCACTATAGCTCCCAGCATAAGATGAAACCGCTTCATTGTGGATCTCCTGCAAAAAAAGAAAAGTCATTTGGGGAAAGGAAAGCTTAAGGAGGAAGGAGGAAAGAAAAAGGTTCCACTCATTTCTCTTATCTTGCCCCTCCTACCCCCCAATCAAAACTTGTATGAGCTTTACAGAGGACTGACTGTGGTGTGGTTTGGCTTTTTTTTTTTTCTTGTTTCAGTATCATGAACAATTCAGATAGTTTTTCCCTTATGTCTCACATATCTAGGCTTAAAATACTTATTATTTTCTTTTTTTAAATTTATTTTTTATTGTTAGTAGGGAAGATCTGTTACCTCCATTTAAGAAGCTACAGCCATACTATAGATGTCAAACTTAGCTAGTGCAAGCACCTGTGTGTCCTGTGGTCATGCTTTTGAAGTGCAAAGACAAGTTCATGTGTAATTTACGTTTTTTGTTCACAGTTGAGGTTGTTTTTTTTTTCCTGTCTGTGAAAGTTTAAACTTCTGTTTCCTCAAAAGATAACTTCGAACACTACACTATGGATTTGCTTTAAATGACAATTTACTTTTTCTGTTTATAGTGAGTTTCTATGATGTGTCCATTGTCTTGCAAGCCTTTATTCTTACTGCTGCTGTATTTCTTGGACTGACTGCATATACCTTGCAGTCAAAGAGAGACTTCAGCAAATTTGGAGCAGGGTATGTTGTCATATTGATGATTTTTTTTTGTCGTTGTTAAGCTAGTTTTTCCCATTTTCAAAGCAAGCTTTGCAGATAAAATAATGGATACAGGTCAATAAAACATGCTTCAAGGGAATGGCGAGGGTGTTGTTTATCTTAAATTATTCATTTTATGCAGTTCTGCTTTCTCAGTAAGAAATTCTTTCCTGTGATTATGATTCTTAAAACCATAGTATTACACTAAAAAACTAGTTTACCTGCGTTTTTCACTGAGACACAAGGGAGTTGCTTCAAATATTTTTTAAAAAGTAAATCTAGGACAGAACTTTTGACAGCTTTATAAAAGCGAGTTTTACTGCTGATACCAGTGAACAGTTGGTATATAATAATTATGGACAGGAAGGATAATTATGGATAGGAAGGGAAGAGATTTTAAGTGAATTTAAAAGAAAAGATACTAATTGCTCACAGGTTGTTTTGGTGTTTTGTTTTTTTTTTAGCCTCTTCGCTTGTTTGTGGATTCTAATCTTCTCGGGTTTCTTGAGGGTAAGATACCTTGTGTTGAAGGTTAAAAAATATTCTTTAATATAAATCCAACTGACTTGGACAGTCCAATATAATGTAATGAAAGAAAATTCGTAACCAGATCTATTACTGTTGTAGATTGTGCTGGTGATCTTTAACTATTCATTTGCAATTCACGTTTTTGTTGGATGCTCTTCTTGCTAATGTAAAAGTGGTATTTGTGTTGATTGACAAAATTTGTCAGTCAAGATCCATGACTTGATTGAGAGAATGGGAAGGAGGTTTGGGTTTTAATTGCATTTTGTTTTTCTGATTTTTCTGCTGCTGTTAATATTCTGGAGACAAGAGCTTCCTTAAGCGGAGGCACTTTTATTCAGTTAAAGAGGTTGTGTGACTGGGGACTATATGAAAGCACATTGAAATGTCATCATAATATTGTATTTGTGTGTACATAACAGCAAAAAGACAGCGTGTATCCTTGTTTTAAGTGTGCCATATCATTATGCAGGAATTTTAATATTAAAAAGAAAATTAAATTTACAATTTTTTTTTCTTTTTTCATGTTTCATTTGCCTCCAGCTGTTTTTCTACAGTGAGACAATAGAGTTGGTGTTTGCTGCTGCTGGAGCTCTTCTGTTCTGTGGATTTATTATTTATGACACTCATTTGCTGATGCACAAATTATCCCCTGAAGAGTACATTCTGGCTGCAATCAATCTCTACTTGGACATCATCAATCTGTTCTTACACCTGCTGCGTTTACTGGAAGCTTTTAATAAAAAATAGTCAGAAGCAGCGTGGTTTGACTGTAGCGCATACAAAGTTAAGTACCTAAATAGCGTTTGGATGATCTACAAACACTGTAGTTCTGCCTTCTAGAGACTGAATCTTTATTACTTTTTCATTCCATGAATATTGGTCCTCCCTTAGAAAAAAAAAAAAGGCTTTTTATGTAGCTAGAGTTCTTCTCTAGAATATATATTTTATTTCGTTAACATGCTGTCGTCATTTCAGTCACTTTTTTTAATCACTTAATTTGCACTTGACATAATTCACGATTTTGAAACGTTTGCCAACTTCTGATTGCTCCGGAGTAAGCCCCTCTCTGTTTTTCTGTAGGTGCTGGAAATGTTGTTTCCTTTGGGATTTACAAGCATGTGTATCCGCATAAGGGTAGCCTGAGTTTATCATTGTGCAATGTTTTACTAAGCTAAAATTTTTTCTGGTTTTTGTTTGGTAAAATGGAATGCTGTCTTGATATTCCGTTCTGGTTACGGGCTGTCAGATTAGTATGGAAGCTGGGAGGGTATTAAAACAATTGCAGGGAATGTTCTTCATTTAAGTATTATTTATTGCCTATCTTTCAGTGTTCTGAAAAATCATTTGGAGATGGATTCTGGCATTTTGTCAACTTGTGTATATGAAGGTTAATTGTCCATCAATAAAAACTGGAAAACCTCGAGTCTGTTCTTGCAGCTGTGACGGGAGAACTTCAGGGTGGGGAGAAGGAGCTCTGCCAGCCCCTGCTGGACTGCCAAGCGCCCGCCAGCAGCAGCAAGGCCCTGCGGCAGCGCCTGCTTTCCCGGCCCTTGAAACCCTGGAATGGCAGGGGGGTAGAAAACATTTTGAAAGGCTTGCTTTCTTCATAGTCAGCGCTGAAGTCGAAGGCCTGGCCTGCCGGGAGAGGTGCGTCCCGTGTCCCGCCACAAGCAGGGACGACGTATGCTTTCCCTGCGGGAACTTGAGGAAGGCGATTGAATTTGACCGCCCACCCTTTGGAGCAACTGTCACGATTTCTCTCGTCTGTGTGAAGGCTTTCATTAAGAGTAGCTAAAATTAGAACTTCGCTTTTTTTTTTTTTTTTCTTCCCTTGCGCTGAAATACATCTTTATTTTTTCGTCCTCCCCCAGCACCCTCCGCAGGCC